TGGGACTTAAAGAGTTTAACATTTCAGTGTTTGCATTTTGAATAAATTTATCATCACTTTACACACTGCTCATTTCAGTTCTTGTAGGTTTTTTTAAATGCAGCAACATGACCTTTTAACTGTTTTTCTTTTTTTTCTAGTAGATTATTTATTTAATGTCATTTAGTTTCTTTCTCTGTTGTGGTTTGCTGACTGACCAAACAGTTGTTGATACCATTGCCTTTTTGTAAGTTAGTCTGTGAGTGTAGGGTTTGTCTTCTGACTCACTCCTAGGCTGTGCAGGAGTTGTGGCTTTTCTATTCCTGCCTATTTTTGTTCTTGCTGACATACTTAAAAGTTTGATGACCACCTGTTGTGATCAGTTGATGATATACTTCATTTGTGATGACCACTTTTTCAATCAGTTTATTTGTTGTAGTAGGTTTATTGAGACTTTTAAAATGACTGTTATTCTGTCTTTGACTTGAACTAGATATTCATCACTGTCGTCAAACTGGCCAATGGCAAGTGGGTCCTGTGGTCTCTGATAAAGTGGGTCTCTTTAAACATTTGCCAGAATGTTAAAAATGGCAATGAACCTTAAATGGCTTAAAAATATGATACAGATTCCAGTATTTTGACTCTATGCAACTAAAATTTACTTTGAGTTACCACTGTTACGAACTGTTTAATAAAATCTTTTTTGAAGGATCTTGTATTTAACTCTTTGAGTCCCAAGGAAGTTAAGCATCAGAGGTTCAAGGGATCAAATGCATTTTTGTATTTCACAAGTGTAAAACATCAAAACAGACCATACTAATTAGCTGCCGTGCAACATACACATATTATTCATCAGAGTGACCAGGGATTATTGAGGAATAATGTTAGGATATCGCTACAATAAATAATTGTGTTCGTAGTTCAAGATTAGTAAATAAACAGACAACATGTTTAGAGAAGTCAATAAAATGAAATAATAACTTTTCCACTTACCACAACAGCACTCAAAAAAACCTCGATAAAATATATCCAAAATGAATCACAAATGAATGTGAACCACTTAGTAATGTAAAGTGAAATATAAACTCCCTCTTAACATTAGATCTTTTTCCATAGAAACTTTTGAAGCATGTAACAGAGCACCATTATTTTTCGTTAAAATGAGCTGACTTCCTAAAACAATTTGTATCTTCACACAAAAGAAGTTTGCACAATACTCAATTTGCCTGTAATTTTGTAGCTATGTTCCTAAATATTAATGGGAATAGCACTAGAATTAACTGACACTGAAGAAAACAACCTTTTTCACTAATATTTATTCTCTTTTTAGCAGCTGACTTTGTTACCTTTGTATGCTTTTCACAAGGTACATGTTAGAGCTATCCGTCTTCAAAGTTTGGCTCTATAAAAAACTGAAACAAGTCTACTTCACAACTTTCTCCATCTAACTTCAGATAAATCTGATACACTCTTTTTGAGGCTTCTAAAGGCATAAATCGTGTTAGCATGCATGTAGAAAACTGCTTGGTGACCATATTATCTTCAAACAAACACTTAGTAACTTGTTAAACCTTGCAATCATATTTGCCTAAATTTTAGGCTTTTAACCACGTTTCCACATAAACTGATCATCAACACATGTGTTATCAAACATAAAGGACTGGAGAGGAAGTTTAAATGTTGTGGTTTGCATTTTTACGCTGGTCAGTTGTATACTAGCCAATAGTTGATTCATGACAATTCACGAACAGGTGATCTGATTATCTCTACAGATGGTTCGGTGTTGAGAGGAAAGAGAAGTGCCTGGGGGTTCCTAGCAAAAGCCAATGGAAAATCTTTAGTGTAAGACATCCTAGGATATGACACCACAACATCTAGCATGAGAATGGAGGTGAAGGCAGTAACTGCAGCTCTCCTGTGGCTAGAGAACAAAATGCATTCACATGTCATAATTGTAACAGACTCTGAAAGCATACTGAGAAAGATGAAGCCAGGAATGCTTTGAGCAGAGTGGCAAACTTCACTTGGAAAGTCACGGGTAGTGAGCATACTTTGGATCTTTTCTCCAGGCCATGCCAGGGTGGGTAATAAACAGGCAGATTGGCTGGATCTTCACCACTGTGTGGGGAATTGATACATGACGAGGCAGATGTGGTCAAGGCCCTTTGGGAACAAGCAACAGAATCAGTAGAGAAACAAGACTATTATGGCCTGGAGAGAATGAGGCACCTGGGTGTAACCAGAGGATCTGGCCGGCTCACTATACTCAGAGAAAAGACAAGACGGACATATAACCAGATTGTGACTGGTACCATCAGTATTGGAACTCTGTGCTGGCTGCTGAAGATGAGGACGGAGCACACATGGGAATGCCCCGAGTGTTGTGATGTCAATTTTTTTTTCAACTCAACTCAAACTAAAAGCCTTTACATGTCATGAACCGACTGGGCTGCTGGGTAGTAACCAGTTAGTGTGTGATGCCTTCCTTGGGACTCAAAGAGTTAGGAACATAATAAAGCGG